TCCCACAGGGCAAGAAACCCTGACTGCCCTAAGGGACGAAGAGGGAGGAGGAGAGGGAGTGGGGGGAGTGGGAGGGTGTTGGGAAGAGGGGCGGAAATGGAAACTTTTATAATTTAATAAAATTTACTTAAAAAAAAAAAAGAAAAGCTCTTAAGGCGTTTCAAGGTCCTTGCCAGGAAGCAAGCTGCAACAGTGTTTCCATAGTCAGGAAGGCCTGCTTGAAAGAGTCAGAGTTTTCCCTGGCCGGACAGCCCAGAAATCTGGCATTTTAAAACAGCGCAGCTTTTTTCCTGCTTCAGCTGAAAACTGAAATGCTTTACTCTAGTCTTTCCTAATCTTTCTAAGGCATTCTGTGGATGCAGTTATGCACATGGGCACCATTCTGTAACATGAAAAGGCCAGGCCTGCTTGTTGGGGTTTTTGTCCTGCCCAGTTCCCCCAGCTGTTTAGTCCCAGAGAAAAATCACACACAGATCTCTGTAAGTTATAAAGCTGATTCGCCCATTAGGTCAGGCTTCTTATTAGCTAACTCTCACATCTTGATTAACCCATTTTTCTGATCTATGTTAGCCATATGGCTCAGTACCCTTTTCAGTGGGCAGATCACATCCTGCTGCTTCGGTGATCTGGGCAGGAGTGAGAAGAATCAGCTTCCTTCTTCCCAGAATTCTCCTGCTCTCTTTGCATCATTTCCACTTCCTGTCTGGTTTTCCCACCTACACCTCCTGCCTGACCAATCAGCGTTTATTTAAAACATGATTGACAGAATACAGACAATTCTTCTGCACCAAATATAAACTTGGGACCTGGAAGCAGCATGACCCATAGGTATCCTCATGACCTTTGGGGTATGTTGGAATTTTGATGGGGATTGTGTTGAATCTACAGATTGATTTTGATAAAATGGACACTTTTACTACAGTAATTCTACCAATCCATGAATACTGGAGATCTTTACATCTTCTGATATTTACTCCAATTTCTTTCTTCAAATACTTGACATTATTTTCATCCAAGTCTTTCGCTTGCTTCGTTAGTGTCACTCCAAGATAAGTTATACTATTTGTGGCTATTGGGGAAACTCTTATTCCCCTGATTTCTTTTGTGGTCAGTTTTGGAAAATGTCTGTGAGGTAGTGAGAAGAAGGTACATGCTTTTGTGTTCAGGTGAAATGTTCTGTAGATATCTTTTGGGTCCATTTGGTTCACAGCTTCTATTAGCTACACTATTTGTCTGTTTAGTATTTGTCTTGATAACCTGTCCATTGGTGAAAAAAGGTTATTGCAATCACCGAATATTAATGTGTGAGGGTTAATGTCTGATTAAGCTTCAGTAATGTTCCCTTTACAAACATAGTTGCCCTTACTTTTAAGGCATAGATATTAAAAACTGAAATGTCATCTTTGTGGATTTTATCCTTTGATGAATATGACATATTATATATTACCCCAACTTTTTTGACTTAGTTTAGGTTTGAAGTCTATTTTGTTGGATAGTAGGATAGCTGCAGTCTCTTGCTGGTTAAGTACATTTGTTTGGAATATTTTTCTTTCCAACCCTTTATTCTGAAGTAATATTTATCTTTGATGTTAATATATGTTTCTTAAATGAAGCAGAATGATGAATCATATGTTGCATCCATTCTTCTAGACTGTGTCTTTTTATTGAATAATATTGATTTTGAGAGATATTAGTGACCAATAGATTGTTAATTCCTGTTATTTGTTGTTGTTGGTGATCATGGTGGTGATGGTGGTGGTGATAGGGTATATGAGTTTGCTTCCTTTCTTTCACTTTTGCTGGCATGATACTACTTATTTCCTGTTTTTAATAAATGTAGTTAACCTCCTTGCTTTGGAGTTCTATTCTGTTTTCTTCTCTAGGGACAGATTTTAAATAAATATTTTTTGACTTTGACTTTATTATGAAATATCATTTTTCTCCATCTATAATGATTAAAAGTTTTGCATGTATAGTAATTTTGGCTGTAATTTGTGGTTTTTTAGAGTATGCAGTAAATTTCTCCAGGACCTTCTGGATTTTAGAGTCTGCACTGCAAAGTCAAGTGTAATTCTCATAGGTCTACATTTATACGTTACTTGGTCTTTTCTCCTTGCATGTTTAGTATTCTTTCTTTGTTCTGTACATTTAGTGTTTTGATTATTAGCTAACAAAGGGTTTTTTTTTCTGGTCCATTATATTTGGTGTCCTAAAAGCTTCTTATCCTTTATATGCATGTCTTTTTTTAGGCTAGGAAAATTTTCTTCTATGATTTTGTTGAAAATATTTTCTGGGCCTTTGGACTAGAAATCTCCTTCTTCTATTCCTATTATTCTTATATTTGGTCCCAGTTTTCCTAGATCTTTGTGCTAGGAATTTGTTAGATTTAACATTTTCTTTGACTAATGTGGCAATTTCTTCAGAAATCCTCTATTGCATGTCTTCTGTTGGTGATGTTTGCCTCTGTAGTTCATGTCCACTACCTAGGCTTTCCATGTCCAGAATTCCCTCTAATTGTGTTTTCTTTATTGATTCTATTTTCATTTTCAGGTTTTTAAACCATGTTATTTGTTTCCTTCAAATATTTGTTTGTTTGTCTTTCTTTCTTGCCCTTCTTTAATAAATTTATGATTTTACTTGTAAAGAAACTCTATTATCTTTGAAAAGTTGGTTTTAAGGTAATTTTCTTGTGCTTCAACTGTGTCAGAACTGTCAGATCTTGCCATGGTAGGATAACTGGATTCTGGTAAGGACATACAGCCCTTGCTGTTATTGATTATATTCTTCCATAGTTTAGGCATCTAGGTGTTGAATGATTATAGGTCTAGGTACTGATTTCTAAATTTGTCTTTGTTGGATGATTGTTGTGTTCCTTAGTTTCTGTTTCCTCTTTGGTCTTCTTTGGTCTGCTGGCCTGATAGTCAGGCAGCAGGTCTGATATGTAGTCAAGCAGAGAGTCTCGTAATGTTAAGTTAATGGTGGTACATGGTGATTAGGATGAGAGGAGTCACTGGTGATATTGTTAGTAAGGGTAGGTGTGGAGAAAATAGAGTAATTATATATGTGGGCCACCTATCTGAAGTTCTGGCAGTTGAGTTTGCCTATCTCTTCTTTCAACTGCTATGGCCTTCACATGCCCTTCTAACTGTTGGCCTGTACCTAAGCAGTGGAGATCTGTTCAAGTTGTGGAAGAACCTAGAAACAGGGTTAGTGGTGTTGCAGGAAGAGGTAATAGTTGGTTATGTCTTTAGGATCTGAACCAAGGGTATAGGAGAGTTATGAGGGCATCTGGGCCACTTTCCTGTTCTTTTGACTGAACCAGAAAGAAATCTTCCTCAACTCCTCCTGTGTATTTCCTAAGACATCACATAGGACTCTACCATCAGGAATGTGGTTTGTGTTCACAGATGACAGTGAAAATCACTATACCATAATATGTATTACATCATGCTTCTAAGGTGGTTATTTCTACCTTTGAATTCAGCATCAGTCAAGGCATCATTTAGGTCTCCCATGTAAAGCATTCCATTTCCTAAACAATTACAAAGTCATTTGAGAGTTAATAATCAACTCAGTTAAACAAACACTTAAGAAGGTCCAATCTGATCAAGACTGTGTATTGACACAATTCTATATATCTTGCACAGTTTATAACCTTTTATATTGGAAGAGACTGAACAATTTTAGACCTATGGCCAAGTTAATAATATATCTTCATATTGCACAAGACTTATCCTGGTATCCTACTGTGTAATTACCCTGTTTATTTAACCTGCCTTTAATGCAACACTGTCTCAAACAACTTTATTTGCTTTGGAGTTCCTATGTAATGAGCCTTTAATACCTAAGCTAATGCACAGTTTAAATCATAATTATGTATCCTATCACACCACAGACTACGAGTAATGCATGTTTATATTTGTGTGTTGTAGTAATCATTTGCTAAAGTGGCCAACAGTTTGGAAGCAAACCACTAGAGAAATATGTACCACAAGCATTGTAAGCAGCCCATACATTAACTTTTTCAGTTGTAAGCTGACAATACTTTTGGTTTTCTGAGTGTTGTAATGTTTGTTGGGGTCAATAAATCAGTTTTCTCCGTGTAAAACTGTAAAATATTCTGTAAAAGTATCCATCATCCGTTTCCCATGTTATGGTTCATGTGATGTTCAACAAATATAGAATAAAGCCCTTTGTTAGGAACTCATACATGAGCAATAGTTCAAGACAGAACAACAGGCATAAATCTCAGATAGAACACCACCTTTTATATACAGAGGCAAGTCACAAGAGAAAAAGTCGAGAAATCAACCTTGGGGATTTCTCTTGATCAAGTTAATCCAAGGGTGATGTCCTAATACATTTGGGTGCATATGAACCTATCTTTAATATATTTAATTGACATAGGACTGGGAACATATGAGTGAAGCATCTCTAGAATATTTCATTAATTTAAAAAAGACAACAAAAGTAATGCAAGATGAACTTTAGATTTTGAAGGGAAGACATGATTGTTTTGTCAAAAATGGTTATGGAATATAATATTCCTTCTATAATACACAGGAATTCCAGAGAAAGGAATACACATGGATAAATATTTAGAGATGAGGTTTGTATGCAAAGATTTAACGTTTTTAACAGTGATGACAGCCACAGAAACTTTAAAGGAAATTTAATGTCAATCAGTCTACTGCATTTCTGAGAAACAACTATGACCTCTGGTCTCACTGAGAGCATTGGTTTAATTATTTATTAATTTCCTAGAGAAAAGAACAGTGAAGAAGTCAAAATGTGGGTTACCTTGAACTATTGTGAACTGTCAACTGAAGAGGACACCCATAGTCTCCATACCCATGACAGATACACACTTGGTCTTTCTACTGGCAGTATCAACAGCTCCACCCCCTTTCCTAGAACATAAATACTGTGGCTTAGCTTCACAGTTTCACTCCTGGTCTCAGAAGGAGAACTAAAGTCCTCACCTACAAGGAAAAGTCAGAGAGCAGATTTCTTGGAAGAAAAGAGCAATGGACTTGATTTTAAACCTTTCCATGGAAACATGGGCACTACTGGCTACTATCCTGGTGCTCCTCTACCTGTGAGTAAGGGCTGGATGCTTCTCTGTTGTGGCCCTAGAGTTGGAATGATTCTCAGACCCTTTTTACCTATCTGAAAACCGGAAGATATAATCCAATGGAAATTAATACTGCCACAGCTGAACACATGTCAACTGTAAACTAAACCGTGGATCTCACTGTGCTTTTCAGTCAAAAATTCTCAACTATTGTTAAAGTTCCAATAGGCTTAAAATGGTTAGACTGAGCTGCTTCTATAGGATTATTTTCTGCCATTTGTTTGTCATTAGTTTGTCACAACAGAATAGGAGGATTTGCAGGATCTTGATCCCACAATGTAGTAATCTATATTTGAGTTATTAGTTAATAATTAGACTCAGGCCTACCTTCTCTGAGAGTATTGTCACAGATGTTGCTGAATTACAGACAAGAGTTAGTAATAAATGCTTTGTGAGTGATCATGTTAGTTCATAATGCTGTCATTGTGCTATTTATGAATAAACAGGTTAGAGTTAGTCACTTCATTTGGGCACAACATGGTGTTGTTCAGACTTTTTACCTCGGTAGGGCATCACTGACAGACCAGTGTACCCATTTATCCAAAGTCTACCTTGGAGAGGCATAAGTTTATGAATCTATTACAAGAATATTTTTGAAATGTTACTTGCAGAGGTGTGAATGGCTCGAAGGAAACTGCAGCATCAAAACATCACATTGTTGGATAATGACACAAACTCTGCATATGTGTATGTATATATTCTGTGCATATGAATGTACCATATGTATTGCAGATGCCCAAGGGTGTTAAAAATACTGTATGGGGATTCCAAGCTCTGGAATAATTGGCACTTGTGACTTGTTATGTGGCTGCTGTGAACAGATCCTTGTCCTCTCCAGGAGTAGCAAATGATCTTAGATATACAGCCATTTGTCCACCCTGACACATGCACAAGGGGAGTTTTGCACACATTTCAGGCTTAGAGACAAGACAATTCAGAGAGTTTTGCCAAGAAGCTCTATTGGTTGACTTTCCTCACTTGCTGAGCAACCTCACTGTTTACTGTTTATATAATGTTGAGGAGGGGCCATGTTCGTGTTGCATTGGAGGTTTCCCACACTGGTGATATATGTTTTCTTTCTAAGTCTTGTGAAATCATCAGTAACATTCAAACTCAAGGTTAGAAAATTTTCTTACATTCTACCTACAGTACTGAGACCATAAAGTATGACTTTAAAATTTTATAATAAGATGTTATATTAAGGGATTATTGCTCCACAATGTTATGTTAAATTCTGCCTATCTGTGACCTCACTGTATAGAATCTTGTTCTCAATATTTCTTCCCAAAGGGAGAGAAATCGATACATACTGATATGTTAACTAAATAATATATATAACTAAGGGCATATGTGGATATGTATATTTATGGTTGTGTATAAGTAAATAGGTATATTTATGTGTTTATATGTGTGAATATGTGTGTTCAAGTATGTTCATGGGTAAATGTCTGTATTTGTATAGGTGCCCATATAAATTTGTGTTATTTATATATGTATTTGTGTGAATATATATGTGTCTGTTGAACAAGCCTATGACGTGGTTTTCTTCTTCATGATATAGTTATGGAACCTCTTCACATGGCCTTTTTAAGAAGCTAGGGATTCCTGGCCCCAAACCTGTGCCTTATTTTGGGTCAATGCTTGACTACAGGAGGGTGAGTGATGTTTGGGTTCCCTAATTTGCTTCTTATGAATATGTCAGTTTTATGAGTGTCATGAAACTGTGTCAGTTCATCGGTGCAAATGACAATTGGAATGAAATGCTAAGATTTACAGCTTTCAGAATCTTTTGTGGCAATCCTAGATCATTGCTGCATTATCATATGTGGGTTTCCATATGTGATTTTTTGGGGGGACCTGAATTTTGTGTCGTTTCCATATGTGGTTTTGTTGGGGGACCTGAATTTTGTGTCAGATGTGAATACTTAATGTTGGTACAGTAGTACCTGATGTTAAAAAACAGACATATAGAATTTAGGAGCATAATATTTAAGTATTTTCAGTAAAATTTCCAGAAAACTACAGTTTTACTGATACAGTGTTTGAAGAAACACATATCAGGGCTCCTGGGTGTCATCTCAACAACTTTAGTGCAGTGGTCACATGTAGGTTGAATATATTCTTTTCTTGATAAGGATAACTGGTGCATGTTTATAAGGGCACAAGTTGCTATTGAGGTGTATGCACAAAATTGAATCCTCAATAATCATTGCATCCCCTGTTATTTCCAAGTCTCTAGCTATGTTTTTGTCTCCTGTGATTTCTTGTTTGTGTTTGTGGCAGGTGCACTAAGAGTTCAAACAAAAAGGCTTACTCCTTTTCACTTCAAAGGAGAACCTTATGTAGGATGCTGAGGTATAGATTTATGGGAGATTAGATGAGGTTGCCTGTGAACCTCTGATATTTAACCATAATGTGGGTTTCGTGTCTTGAAACAGAAGCAGAATCAATATAAAAAGAAATCACTTTTTGACAATTTTGTAAAAGTACAAAACTAGTTGTGGTGGGAAGAATGTATATATTTAAGATGTTTATATATATTATATAAAAATGTATACATATATACATAAACACATATGTATACATAATTAAACTTTTGAATTTATAGAGAGCCTTCTCTAAAGAGAAGGACTCCTGGACTGTCATTCCTAATCTCACACCCAGGAGACCAACCATAATGGGAAGGCTGCACAATTGGAATATTTCCTTTTCTGAAAACTTGAGTCTTATTCATCCTACCACAATTCTTTCATAATGAGAGATTGTTTTTCTTATCTCACTAAGAATTCCATACTCCTCTGAATTTACAAAAAGCAATAACTCTTACTTCTTGTTTTAGATGTCATTTTCATTGACATCTGTTGAGTGATATTTGGAGTAAGATGGTAGAGTTAGGTCCTAGCTAACCAAAATCAAGCACAGAAAATTTGGAGCACTGAGGACAGATAGGACAGGAAGTAGTAAGATAGGACAAGGAGGGATATGGCTCTTTGGGTAAAGAAACTAGTCAGGAAGAGAGAACTGGTACCTTCTCTGCTGTCTGGTCTTTCAAGCTCTTACCATAATATCTGACTTCTGAGATTTTATTGATAAAGACTAATTAGAGCATTTCTTCAGACATCCTTTGAAAAACACTTTTGGATGTTATGTTTTCCTTCATTTTGGGGTTTTGTTTTAAGTAGCGTGTTCTGTAGTGAGTTCTGGTCACAACTTTGTTGTGTATATAATGGCCATGAATTTCTGTATCTGCTTACTCACTGCTTGTGTGTACCACAATATCTTAATGTGGGGTTAATTATAGGGACTTGGGTATCAAACCCAGGGCTTTGCTTTTACTAGTCTGACTCCAATGGGAGGAATATGGGTCTTGAATTGTGAAGAGAGCTGATACTGGGAGTTCTTTCATCACAGAACCATCAATAGGAAACTTTCTTGACCTTCATAAGTGGTATTCTATTTTTAAACATTCACCTACATTTTTCCATGTCTTTAAACTTACAGAACCTTCACCAGGGAAACAAGGGGTTATTTTCTGAATGGATATAAATAACTTTTCTAAATGCTTTACAAGCATTAGCTTGAACAAGAATGCAGAGACAAATGAAGTCTATTAAGGAAAAGAAAGTGCTCTTTAGAACCTCTCAGCTGTTCTCTCACCCTTTCCTTCTTATAAATAATCCCCAAATCTGACTCATTTTATATATTCATCAAGGCAGTGATTATTCTTGATGATTTCCCTTATACTTTATCCCCATGCTGGGCACCTTCTCTTACACATAACCTCACCTTAACTTGCTGGAAATAGGGTCCCAAATGAGAAGATTGTGATATGTGGTGTAGTTGGATGTTGCTCATTCATTTCCTGGCTGCCCAAACCCAAAATAATCCCTCAGAAACTATATTAATTACCACACTGTTTGGCCTATTAGCTTATGTATATTTCTAGTTAACTCTTACTTTTTAAATCAACCCATCTCTATTAATCTGTGCATCACCATGAGGTTGTGGCCTACTTGCAAGATTCCAGTGTCTGTCTCCTCTAGTAGCTACATGATGGCTCACTGACTGTGCCTAGTCTCTCTCTGCATCTCTGTTTGGATTTCCTGCCTGCATTTATTCTGTTAATCTATTGGCTGAAAGCAGCCTTATTCATAACCAATAAAACTAATAAATATACAGAAGTACTTCTCATACAATTTTCCTTTTTCTGTTTAAATAAAAAGGAAGGGTTATTTTAACATAGTAAAATTAATATAACAGAAACAGGTATCAAACAAGAATTACAGTTACAGTACTTACATCTACTTATCTTTCATCATAACTAAGGAAAGCTTTAATTATAACTCTCTATTCTTCAGCTCCATCAAAGATCGCAGAAGGATATAATATTACCTAAGTTAACAGGAAGTGAATTTTAAGCAACTTCCAAAACTTTAGAATTGACAGAGACATCTCACTGCCTGGAAATTCACACTAAATTCCTCTGTAACATTGGGGCATCCAATCTTCAACCTACAGACCCGTAGTATCTGGAAGACTTTTCCATGAAGCAGGAAGTTTCAACGACAGTTCTGCCTATATTTGCAGTTTGTCAGTTGCTTTCTTCTGTGTTCTGAAGAATGTCTGGCAGATTCTTTCATGGGCAAGAACCCTGAAGGACTGTCTCACCTTTTTTAGGCAACTTCAGCAGTCATTTTTCTGTGGATCCTGCATGTCCAGTTTATATAGTATACCATGAAGCACTCCAGGCAATATCAGTTTCTTGCACAAATGGCTAGCAAACTCCATAAATAGCCTCCCTCTTCTATGTCCATACAAATATGTAGTATATTTGTGCTACCAAGAGCAGACATGTATCACTATTATGAAAAGTTCTAAGTTCTTATTACATTTTAAATGCCATATTCTGGAGGTCATTGTTGACTGAAGTTTCTGTCCTACCTGGTCCCACAGCCATTCAGCCACAAAGAAAGACACAGAGGTCTAACTAATTACACACTGGTTTGTCTATTAGCTCAGGCTTCTTATTAAATAATTCTTACATCTTAAAGTAGCCAATTATTCTTGTCTATGTTAGAAGTGTGCCTTGGTACCTTTCATCAGTGAGGCATTCTCATCTTGTTTCCTCTCTTTCTGGGTGACAATGAAGACTGACTCTTCCTCATTCCAGAATTTTTCTGTTCTCATTGCTCTACCTCTTCTTTCTATCAGATTACCCCACCTATTCTTCCTGCCTGGCTACTGGCCAATCAGCATTTTATTAAACAAGTATAAGAAATAAATATTGACATGGTAAAACCATTGTCCCACCGCAGATTATTGATAGGCTTGAAGATTATCTATCTAACTAAAATATATCCATATATATCTAGAAAACCTAACAAATATGACTACAAATTTGACTATTATAGATGACTATCTATTAGACAATATTTCTTAATTATATAGTATATTTTAAATAAGGTTCACAAACATAATGCCTTAATCAAGAGTAGAAATATACATATGATAAAATTGACTTTAAATTTGTATCAATAGACCAAGATCCACACCAATGCAAATCTCTGTAGTACATCCCTCTTTATATGTAAACAAACATTTGTAAGCAATATTTGGGAATTTGGGTGTAATTCTCTCCAAACTGCTTTATGCTTTTTGTTAGGTGAAGTAATCTTGGGGTTTGTGGAGACCTCTCAGGGGTGTTTTGGTCCATCAAACCACATTAGTCTGGAAGGAATGCACAGGTTCTCATTCTCTGTGGAAACCAAACCAGAACCTCTTTTCTAAAACAACATATTCTTAGACTCAAATTTTGAAGTCAAGACCCCTTTAAAGTATATATGTTGGTTTAGCTTAGCAACCCATACAATGAAATGTCTCTCTGTGCTTAGCTCATTCACAGTCAAAAAGTTCAAAGAAAATACAATAATATACATAATCAGGACTCTCTGTCTATATTTCATCTTTATGTGGCTTTTTTACTACTTTTATCTATGATTGTCTGCACTCTGTCTCTTTAAAGACTTTGTTTCATTTTTTAAAACAATTTTTTCTTCTAATTCTCTATCCTCTTTTCTTCTCTCTTCCAAGCCTATGTAATTTTTTAAAACATACTGTGACCAATTCAGAGGTTTATTTATGTCTGAATCTGTCTTTTTTGCATATCTGTAACTATTCTTTTGACCAGGAGTTCTTTTAAAATGGTAAGTAGCTTGATCACAATGGCCCTGGATGCTGGCTCTGCCTCTCAGGCTTTCAATATGGCAAAGGTAAACAAACAGAGTCCATCTGAGGGGAAAAATGAGGCTAAACTTGGTTGTTTGTGTCTAGAATTCCTTTTAGAGCTCGGTTGGGTTTTATGTAGATTTAGCTGACACACATTGGTGCACCAATCTGTTATTGAATGCTACTCATTCATTTTCTGGCTTCCCAGACCCAAAATAATCACTCAGAAACTATATTAATTGCAGCACTGCTTGGTCTATCAGCTTATGCATATTTCTAGCTAACTCTTACATCTTAAATCAACACATCCCTATTAATCTGTGTATCACCATGAGGTCATGGTCTAGTGGCAAGATTCCAGCATCTATCATTTCCAATATTTACATGGCATCTCACTGCCTCTGCCTACTCTTTCTCTACATCTCTGTTCAGATTTCCCACCATTGTCTGAAAGCAGCTTTATTTGTTAACCAATAAAAGCATATACATGTACACAAGGACTTCTTACACTAATGTGCAGGGTGAGGACTGGAGATGAGAAGTAAAGAAGACACATAACTGAGACTGAGAGTCTCGAATAAGCTGCTGACTCATACCAAGCATGCATATTGGGTGGCATAGCTTTTTACATTGTATTTTTAGGGGGAAATGGCACAGGTCAGCACAGAGATGAATCAAACTGTAACATGAGGAGTGGGCATGTTGGGGTTTCTGTCCTGCCCTGTTCTCACAGCTGGTAAATCCCAAAGAAAATCACACAGAGGTCTCCATAAGATTATAATCTGATTGGACCATTAGCTCAGGCTTCTTGCTAACTCTTATAACTTATAACAACCCATTATTCTTATCTATATTAGCCACCTTTTGCAGTGGGCAGGTCACATCCTGCTTCTTCGGTGATCTGAGCAGGACTGGGAGGAATGGGCTTCCTCCTTCCTAGAATTCTCTTGTTCTCATCGCCCCGCCTCTACTTCTTGTCTGGTTGACCTGCCTATACTTCCTGCCTGGCCAATCAACATTTATTTAAAACATGATTGGCAGAATACAGACAATTCTCCCACACCATCAAACAATATTGACAAAGAGAACACAAGATACACCAGACTCAGCTGTTTTAGGACTGGTAACCACAGCTCAGGGGAAAACATCTGGTTTCAATAAACTACAACCTTAACTCCTTCAAGGATCTAGTCCAAGACTGTACTTTTCCATTCTGCTACTGGACAAGTACACAGAACTAATGTTTTCTTTTCTTCTCATATTGTCTCTGAGAAAGTCTTATGTAAGCCTGGCTCTCAGCATGAAGCAAGCACTCCACAGGCAGGGCTCGATCGTCTGCCCAGAGACCTAGTTTGACAGAGTTGAAATTCACAATGTTGAAGATAAATTTCATCCTGTAGATGTTCGTCTAGCACAGACATCTTGATAACAAAAATATATTAACTGGGCACATTGATATATATCTGTAATCCCAGTACATAGGCAGGAAAATCAGAAGGGTAAGGATTTCAAGGGCACACTTAGAATACACACAGAGTTTCTTTACACTTTTAATAAAATATACCATACTGTTTTATAATAAATACTGTGATACATAAGAGAACAACATAAAAGAAAAAAATTAAGGTTTAAGAATATAAGCCAGTGGCAATGATTTACCATTGCCATCTATCATGTACTTTACATAATTATATACGATATACATTCTTTAAGGTACCAAAGATTTTTTATTTATTTTACATATCAAGCACAGTTCCCCTTCCCTCCTCTCCTGCCCTTCCTCTACCTCCTCTGCAACCCATTCACGTTCGCTCCTCAGGAAGTGTAAAATCTCCCATGGGGAGTCAACAAAGCCTGATACATTCAGTTGAGGCAGGACCAAGTCTCTTCCTTCATCAAAGTTGAGCAAAGTAACCCACCATATGGAATGGATTTCAAAAAGTCAGCTCATTCACTACAGACAGATCCTGGTCCCACTGCCAGGGATTCCACAAAAAGACCAGGCTATAAAACTGTTGCCCATATACAGAGGTCCTGGTTTGGTCACATACAGGCTTTCCAGCTGTCAGTCTAGAGACCTTGAGTTGCTGCAAGTTCAGATCAACTGTCTCTGTGGGTTTCCCCAATCATAATTTTGACATTACTTATTCTTATACTCCTTCCTCTGTTTCTTCAAATGGACTCCCATGGCTCAGTCTTGTGCTTGATTATGGATCTGCATCTACTTTCCAATCACTGGATAAAGGTTCTATGATTAGAGTTAGGGTATTCAGCAATCTGATTATAGAGGAAGGCAACCTCTCCACTATTGCTAGGGGTCTCAGCTGTGGTCATCATTGGGAATTCCTGGGAATTTCCCTAGCATCAGATTTCTCCCTAGCCCCATATTGGTTCCCTCTATCTAGATATCTCTTTCCTTGCTCTCCCATCCTATCCCTCTTTCAGCCTGAGCATCTCATTCTTTCATGTTCTTATCCCCTATTATGCACAGAGCTTGAGTCCAGTATGACTTACATGGAATTCTGTCTCCTCAAATTACAAGCACTAATTTAACACAATGTACATGTTTTTTCCAAGGCTTTAGAAGTGAAAATTCAGACCAAATGTTCAATTTTATGTTTGCTTTATGTAAATTGATATCTCCTCATCTTTCCAGGTTCAACATGCACACTCAAAGGCAAACCTGTTTTGCCTATGCTTTATTATTAACACTTTAGTTAATTTGGCCAATGACATTTATATTAAAAAATCTAAAATTCTATAGGCATAAATGATACCTCAATTTACTGATTCCTTCAGGATTCTATGGAAGTCATCAAGTTAATAATAGGTTTAGTAAGTGAGAAACAAATAGATTTTGCATAATTTGGAAATCTTCCTGGCTTTTGTTGCCCTCATGCACCCAAAGAATAGAAAAATATGGAGTGTTTCATAATTTCAGTAAATATATTAACAGAAAAGTGCCACAGGTAACAAACAAATGCTTAGTTTAAATAGAGAATAAAGCATTTGTAATGTATAATACTCTGGAAAGGAAATCACGAATAACTTTAATTTCTTCATGCCAAGTGTCCTCTGCATTCTTTTCTTTCTCTTCAGAGACCTTCTTTTAACCACTAGTTAGAGAACTTAAATAATGAACCTAGTTTCCTAGGATTTATGTCATTTACTTGCCAGATATACACAGAAAAAATGGCATTTCATTTTATTTCTCTTCCCAGGGTATATGGAAATTGGATGAAGAATGTCGAAAAAAGTATGGGGATTTGTGGGGGTGAGTATTCTGGAAATATGTATCAGATGGTATTATGATATGGCACAGAACTGCATGAGAAGTTTGTCAGCCCAGTTACGTATGGCACATTTGTCTATTTTATAGTGTCTGAAAGTCTGTCCTACCAAGGATGGCATAGCCAGTTTATATTGTGACCCTCAGAACAAAAGACTAAGAATGTTGCAGGTATTTTGTAAGCAACCTTTGGTTTTCCAGGGGCAACTAACCTTCTTTTATCAAGTGTCTTCTCAGGAAACTTGCCTCCATTTATCCTTCCTTGGGTTCATTTAAATTGTGTGAAATGCATTGTTTCAGGCACTTGTAATATGTGCTCATAGTTTAGAAGCACGTTCTCTTTCTCATAATAATTCACACCGGGTAAAATAAGAAACACTTTATAAAAAATTCTTGCAGTAAATACATGTTATACTGTAGTGGCATTTTATTTATATTTTAATAAATAAAGCATGCTTATGGATCAGAAAAGGAAACCAGCCACATTGACCAGACTTACAGACCAGGCAGTGATGACACACACCTTTAATCCCAGTAGCCACACTGACACACACCTTTAATCCTAGTAGTCATACTAATTTAATATAGAAACCAGACAGTAGTGGTATACACCCTTAATCCCAGAAATGGAGAGGATTATAAAACAAGATGAGACAGCTCTCAGGCACAGTCTCATTCTGAGATTCCTGGAGGCAGAATTAGCATTTTTAGACTAAGGTAGAGTTAAGAGCCAGTGACTAGCTGTTTTGCTTTTCTGACCTTCAGGTTGAACCCCAATTTCTTTTCTGAGTTTTCCTTAATCATGCATCACTCTACAAATACAGGTTTAAGGAAAAACAAACCTAGGAATTTGTGGTTGTTTTATGTAAAATTTCCTGTGTTGATACACTGTGGATTGTATTTGAATGCTTATTTAATTGTTTGAGACTATATAATTGCATCATTACTCCCTTCCCTTTCTCTCTTCAAGATTTCTAAAAAATATCTCCCTGCTCTCTTTCAAATTCATGTTATCTTTTTTCATTAATTGTTGTTGCATATATATAGTATATATGTAATATATATGTATATATATTCCTAAGTACAACCTTCTCAGTCTACACACACACACACACACACACACACACACATATATATATATATATATATATATATATAGAGAGAGAGAGAGAGAGAGAGAGAGAGAGAGAGAGAGACTGAGAAGATATATTACATAATATATTACATATTATCTTTATGTATGCTTTCAGTGAAGAACATTTGGTAATTGATATTCACTAGGTGTGCTCTTCTGTGAGGGAGAGCAGTTCTCCAATTTCCAGGATTGTTTTGTTGCTTGTAGTTCTTATAGTATGTTTGATGCCTCTTAAGTTTTTCCCATTCTTTGTTTTTGAGAACAGGTCTCAGTATATCCATAGTTTACCTCGAAAGTTATTATGAAACCCAAGTTGGCCTAGAACTCACTGTCTTCTATCCCTCCCTTCTCTCTTTGATGTCTGTGGCATCACACTTTGCTGAATTATCTATTTTTTTGCATTTCCTGTGTATATGTGATCCTAGGTGATGGTTATTTAACAAGAAGGTATATGAGTATTTCCTATTACCACATTCTCACTTTGAAGAACAGGTATAAGATGTATTACACCATGTTGTTACCTTCTGGAAATGTCATATATTGCTTTGTGTGATGGTTGAGCCAGCAGCAGCAGATCTTCCCTCTCAGAGTTCCTGGGGGTTTGGTCACCTGGGAAGAGGTGATATCACTGTACTGTGTGCCACAAGCATAGTGGAGAAGGTTCTGCCTCTTCATCTCTTCTCATCCATTGAGTCCACAGTACTAATCACAGGGTCTGCTGAGCTGACATGGTCATGTGACTCATTGCCAAGGGCATTCTGTGCTGCATTTCTAATAGTTTCAAAAGGAACTGTTCTTTGCGACATCATTGCTTGTCATTTGCCAAGATTTTGTTCTTTAGGTCCTGGAGATTTGGCTCAACAATGTAGAGTACTTACTAGTCTTAAAGAAGATCCATCATTTCTTTCCAAGGACCCATAGGGCTTACTGGAAGAAATCCACAGCCTGTCATTTCCTGTGGAAACAAGACCATAACCTCTCAATGCAGCACATTGTCCAACTTCCATTTTGAAATTAATACATTTTTTAAAATATAGGTTTAAATTAGCAGTTTCAATAACCCTATCTGTCAGCACCTGTTTGCTCGCCAGTAATCAAAAAATTTCAAAGACAACACAAAAACATATAAGATCTGGACTCCTTGTATATTTCTGCTCTCTATATGACTTATCCTTTTTATTATGTTACTCTCTCTTTAAAGACTTCACTATTTTTAACTATTTACTTTTATCTATGAGTATCTATACCAACTTTTTCTTTAGCCTATGCGCATTGTTAAACACTATAATCGGTGTAGCATTTTTTTCTTTCCATATGAACCCACTTCATGGCATAACTGTAAACTTTCTGTCTGCATCAGCAAAACTTTAAACCTGACACACTGCCTAGCTTGTGGGACCCTAGTTACTCAAACATGAAGGCAGATACCAGGACATGTGTCTCTGTACCTCAGACAGAATGAAAGACATGAGACCAAGAAGTTTGCATTTGGTTCTGTTTTGGTATGTTTGGAATCTTAAAAAAAAAAAAAAACTTTCTCTGGTCTTATGTGGAAATACATGTCCCCATGTTGGATGCCATTTGCAAGTGGATTATTCTGTCCTGCCTACCAGCTCCCAAACAGGCACACAGAGACTTATTATTGATCTTAAAATCTTGGCTTTTAGCTTAGCCTTTTTTTCTAACTACCTCTTATAACTTAAATTAACCCATTTTTTATTAATTTACTTTCTGCCATGTGACTATTTCCATTATTCCATGTGGTCCATGCTGCTTGTCAGCTTACTCTATGTCTGGCTGAAGACTCCCTATTTCGTCCTAGTGTTCTCTGTGAATGGAAATTCTGTTACTGTTCAGCTTTTTATTAATACAATTACAGTAATGCTTCTTTTTATTGATTTTTATTGAGATCTGCATTTTTCTCTGCTCCCCTCCCTGGCTCTCCTCACCCTCTTCAACCTCCCCCAAGGTCCACATGCTCCCAATTTATTCAGGAGATTTTGTCTTTTTCTACTTATCATGTAGATTAGTTTTAGGTAAGTCTCTCTTAGTGTCTGCATTGCTGTCTAAGTTCTCTGGGATTGTGGTCTGTAGACTGGCTTTCTTTGCTTTATGTTTAAAAACCTCCTATGAGTGAGAACATGTGATAATTTTCTTTCTGTGTCTGGGTTACCTCACTCAAAATAATGTTCTCTAGCTCCATCCTTTTCCCTGCAAAATTCAAGATGCCGTTAATTTTTTCTGCTGTGTAGTACTCCATTGTGTAAATGTACCACACTTTCCTTATCCATTCATTGGTCGAGGGGCATTTAGGTTGTTTCCAGGTTCTGGCTATGACAAACAATGCTGCTATGAACATAGTTGAGCACATGTCCTTGTGGTACGATTGAGCATCATTTGGGTTTATACCCAAAAGTGGTATTACTGGGTCTTGAGGAAGGCTGTTTCCTAATTTTCTGAGAAGTCACCACACTGACATCCAAAGGGGCTGTAGCAGCTTGCATTGCCCCCAGCAATGTAGAAGTGTTTCCTTTTCCCCACCATCTCTCTAGCATAAGTTGTCATCAGTGTTTTTGATCTTGGCCATTCTTACAGGTGTAATCCACATCAACAAAGCCTAAACATAACTAGGAGATCTTGTTGCTGTGTCTTATAGAACCAGAGGTAACATTAGGATCAAAGCTTAATCATCTCTGTTTTCACAACGCAGGATTTATGAGGGACAGCAGCCTCTCCTAGTCTTTACAGAACCAGAAATAATCAAAAAAGTGCTAGTGAAGGAATTCTATTCTGTCTTCACAAATCGGCGGGTATGTATATCTTTTTAAAGTATGTGAGCAATATACACAATAAACAGGTTATATTTAGTAATATATGTACATATATGTATGAAAGCTAATAAGAAAAAATGGTCATCAGTATGAAAAAGTGCAATAAAAATTTATGGGAGGTTTGGAGGAAGAAACGGTAAGGCAGAAACTTAATTATATTAAAATTAAGAAACTAAAACTATGAATATTTATTTAAAATTTCTATTATGAGTAGCTGGGGTTATAGCTTGGTGGTACAGGGATTACTCACATGCATAAGACCTCGGGTTCAGACTCCCATACCATAAAACAAACAAATCTATTATAATGAAGTATCTATGCAATCACTGTAAAATGTAAAGGAACAGATAAAAACATGCTCTTTGTGCTGTCTTTTTGAAGGGGTATGTGTCCTCATTCTTCCCCAAGGAGAAATTCTCAGCACTCAGGTATAAAGAAATAAGTTTTCCAATCAATTCCCAACTATGGCCTCTATATATTGCTAAAAGAGGCCAAGACTTGGCCAGAGGTTCAGACGCTGTCATAGTCTTCTGACCATCTTAGAGTAGTTTTTTTTACCCTAAACTTGAAGAATATTTTCTTCAGAGCTAGACAAGTTTTACAGAAATTTAAATGTGCATGATTCAGGCTAAGACAAGGTTACCTTTAGTAAACACAGCTTGCTGTCTGAGGTAGTTTGAATGTAATTGGTTCCCATATGCTCACATAGAGAAGAACTATTAGGAGGTATGACTTTGTTGAAGTTTGGCCTAGATGGAGGAAATGTATCATTTTGGGGAATGGGCTTTGTGGTCTCCTATGCTCAAGATATTCATTTTCACTTCCTGTTGTCTGTGGATCAAGATGCAGAACTGTCAGTTCTTTCTCCAGTAACATGTCTACCTACATGCTGCCCATCATAGTGATAATGGACTAAAACTCTGAAAATATAAGCTAACTCAATTAAAGTTTTTTCTTAATAAGAGTTGCCATGGTCATGGTATCTCTTCACAGCAGTAGAAACTATTACTAGACACTGTATAAGTGGGTAATGGTAGTGGTCACTTCTCAACAGAAAAGAACAAATGTGATCCATTGCAGGAGAGAGGAGAGACAAGCAGGGTTACACAGAAGTGAGAATTCTTGTTAGCTTTCCTGTCTCAAGTCAGAGACAGAGTCTTACTCTGTTTCCTTATTCCTGTGTCACCTCATATTTAATAAGGAATCTTTTCTTGGTTCCCATTAAGAGTGTGGAGGGGATTTTGTTTTGGGTTGCAATGAGTCTATAAATTGTTTTTGGCAGGCTGATCATTTTCACAATACCAGTTCTACCAATTAAGATCACTAGATGTCTTTCATTTTCTGGTATCTAAATATCGTTCTTCAGGGACTTCAAGTTATCATTGTACAAGAGTTTTTTCCACTCCCTAGCTAGATTTTTTTCAAGAAATATTATTTTCTTTTATGCTATTGTGATAGAAATTGTGTCCATAATTTCCATCTTACATCCCTGGTATAAGAAAGGGTATATATTTTGTAAGTTAATATGGCAACTTGCCTCGGTATTGAAATTCTTGAATATTGTTGCAAATTTTCTGGTGGAATACTCTGAAAATAAAGAAAATTCAGTTTCTTCTACTTCTTCTTCAACTTCCACTTCTTCAACGTGCTTTTCATTTTCCTCTTCCTCTTCTTCTTTTCTGCTTCTGCTTCTTTTCTGTTCTCTGTGGTAGCCTTCCTGACCTGACCCCACTTATGTTATAAGAGTACTTATTCTTTTTCTGTACTCAGGCAACTCTGATCAAGTGCCATAAAAGCTAGATTAATGTGTCATTCTTCATGACAGAATTCTGGGAGGAAGGCCCAAAGGATTAAAAGTTGATGAAGATAGGAAAGTTGTGTTTAGTAGGTCTTGTAAAAACTATACCTTATGTCAATAGAGATAAACTCACAGATAAAATTGGAAGGATCTGCAGAGAGCTACCATATAATGCAATGAAGTGTAAATGAAGCTAATCAAGCAGTGCTGCACAAAGAAAAACACCAGTTATCAAAAAATATTTTACTTCTATTTATATAAGGTACTAAAAGAAAGTTTTGGATGGCCTGACTCCCAACACCACCATTGTTTTTATATTTTTAGTAATAGTATTTTTATGCATTTTATGCTTTCATTAGTGTGCACATACATATGTGTGACTTATTATCACATTGCTGTAATAAATGTGAAGGTTGCTAGTGAATGTACATATAATATATACATATATAATGTATTTAGCTCCTATACGTAATTTTGGTCCCCTACTACTTTTGTTGTTTGCCTTTCTTTTACAGACTATTCTTCCTTCTATTCTAATATCTTTTAAAACTTTTTGGTGAGTCAATGAATATAATAAGTATTAATTGCAAGACCATGCACACTGAAAGGCTACTTGGAGGAACATAGGACTCTACTGCTGTCTTCACTGTTAAATGAAATGGTTCTCCATTCCTTAGAAAGCATTACCTACCTATACATCCTATAAAAGAACTTTTCTCTTCCCCATGGTGGCGTGTTCATAGTTCCTATACTGTGTTGTTCTTTTGCAGATTTTACAGATGTTGTGATTTCTAAAGTGCAACGGCCTTGTCAGTTCCAGAAGACAGATTTTCCCATGTTCTAACACTTTCCTTTTGACTGTTAACTTTTTAAAGATTTTTTTATTTATTTGAAATATGTATGTCTCTGTATGGTATTGTTGACATGAGTGCATACAAAGGCCAGAAGAGGTTATTTGATTCCTTTGATCTAGAATTTCAGGCACTTGTAAGTCACCTGACATGGTGCTGGGTACTGAAATCAGGCTCTCTGCAAGTACAGCAAGTGCTCCTAACAGCAGAGTCAGATCTTCAGTCCCAGTTTGAGGCACTTTTGTTGAATATTTACTGAAAATCTATCATGAAACCTGCCACCTAAATGAGGGTCAGTAACTATGCTAAGGAAGTGATATCTGTTTATATATGTTTTGCAACCAAGCTCATAGAGAGAAGAATATATTTTATTTGTATTGTAGTTTCTTGGTCAAACTGGACTACTAAGATCTAGTGTCACTGCATGTCATGATGAAGAATGGAAGAGGATCCGAACATTGTTGTCTCCAACCTTCTCCAGTGGAAAACTGAAGGAGGTAAGAAAGTGGAGGACTTTTCACTGTAAATGTAAACGACTGTGTCTGAGGACAGGTAGAGTAATATCATACTCATCAAAGTCCTTTGAGCATAACATTCTTCAGAATTGCTTTTGTTCTTTCTAGGTCTTACATTAGAATATGTGACTGGCCTTTCAACATTTCAAAAGCCTTTTTATGTTGGGACTCAGAACCTTACATTAACAACAGATTGTGCTGTGTTTTCTGATTAGATGTTCCCCATCATCAAACAGTATGGAGATACAATGGTAAAATACATTGGTCAGAAGGCAGAGAAAGACAAGCCTGTTAACATGAAAGAGTGAGTAGTGATGAATGCATTTTCTGGGGCCTATTTGTCACATCTGGAGATCTTCTTGGCCTGCCAGGTAGCTAATCTTCCCTGTGTTGATTATTCTAGAACAATATTCCCTGTGTTGAATTAACCCAGAGCTAGAGTAAATGTGGGGTGAGATGTTATCCAGCTATGAACTATTTGAGAAAGAGCATCTCTCAGATTGCTCTGGTTAAAACAATCTCCCCCATGCCTACTGTGCAAAATTATGTTAGCTGTTGTCATATTGCACATTCTGGAAGACAAACTATATATTTTGGAAATAACATAATCTTAAGAAGGTACAGTTGTGGAGATTGGGAACTGTGGGAGGAGAATGTATGTGGTAGTTGTTTTGGCCAAGAGTGTTACAGATTGCAACATTGGATATTCTACAACCTTAGTTTTGCAGAGGTACTTAGAAAAATATGAAAAAGAAAAAATTTTCACTCACATATTCATAAAACTCAAATCAAGAAGTTATAGAAATGGGGTAGGTAATAAAACCCTGTTATCTTATGATGGCATCCAAGTGGTAAGCTTATGCTGTCATGAACACACTGAAAATAAATTATCACATGGCTCTAGTATGTAAAAAAAAATTGGTATGTCTATTTTTATATTTTAGCCAGAAACATCCTTAGTTTTTATATTACACAGGGATAACTTCCCCAGAGTCATCAGTTTCTGAGGGTTTGGGAAATTTGAGCATAGGCAGGAGGTGTTTGGGTCAAGTACTAACTCTTGTTTTTCTTAGGATGTTTGGGGCCTACAGCATGGATGTGATCACTAGCACCTCATTTGGGGTGAATGTGGATTCTCTTAACAACCCACAGGATCCCTTTGTTGAAAACACAAAAAGATTTTTCACATTTGGATTTTTAAATCCACTGTTTATCTCTACAGGTATATAGTTTATTTTTCAGCAATATTAAGATTATAGATATATTTTAAATAGCACACAGTAAAAAAAATCCTTGTAGAATATCCATACACAATGAATTGTCTCCCCCATCTTGTTTTCAAACTTGTATAATCCAGTTCTACTATCCTGCGTTGTGTTTTCATGTCAGATGTAGTTATTCATCATTGCCATATTCTCTCTCTGTGTGTGTGTGTGTGTGTGTGTGTGTGTGTGTGTGTGTGTGTGTGTATTTATCATGGGATTTCTGTCTTTGAACCATTTATGTGATGACTTTTATTTATACAATTATATATATATATATTAATCATTCCTCCATTTCTTGAATGAAATTTAAATTAAATTTATTTTAATATAATCTACTTCCAATATTTCTGTTTTTATTTTGGTATGGATAGTCTATTTATTTTAAGAGTGCATGTGGAAGTTTCTATCACCCCTTTAAAGTGAAGGTGGGTTCCCTCAACAACCCCAGGATTCTTTGTGAAAAACACCAGAAAGACTTTAACCTTTTCTTTTTTTATATATTGTTTTTCTCTGTAAATATGTAAGCTATTTTTCAAGTCTATTAAAACTCTAAATTTATTTTTAGTCATCATACAAAGTAAAAAACTTCCCCATGGCATAACCATACACACTGTACTCACTCCCATGTCTCCCTGTTTTTATTGGATGTTATGGCACAATATCCTCATTTATCCTTGCATAATGCACATGGTTTTATCAGTTTTTGGTGCATGTTCAGTGTTAAGTTATTAAGTATGAGAAAATCCTATGATTTTGGTCCTTGAGTCAATTTATGTCAAGATTTACATTTATTTATTTACAAGTATTGAACCATTCATCCATCACTGGAAACAAAGTGAAATAAATGTCACATAAATCTTGTCACTTTATTGATTCCCTACTATCTTTATTTTCTTATTCCTCTTTTCCTTAACAAATATCTTCTTAGCATTGTTTATTTCCCATCTACCCTCTTGAATGTGCTTAACTTTTTTTCACTCTGAAATACTCCTTCCAGTGGATTCTGGAACTTGGCTAAAATCATTTAGCCTGACTTACCCCACGTAATTTTTCATTCTTCCTTAGTTATAATCAAGAAGTTGATGGTATGTTAATCTTTTTAGTAGCTTTTGATTTTCAGATCATGAAATACCTCTTTCTAAGTCGTCTATTCATTCATAATTTGCATTAAAAATTCAGCTCTGACACTGATGGATCTATATTAATACGTGGCTTGGTCCTTCCCTCTTGCTTGCTTCAATACACTTTATTCTGTGTTGTGAGCTTTTACCTTAAATGACACGATGTTTCTTTTCTGCTCTTGCCTATGTGATGTTCTCCCTACACTTTTATAGCTACATGGACATCTATTTTGTAGGGTTTAGGAAGTTTTCTTCTATGTTCTTAATGAGAATATCTTATATGACTTTGACATGAAGATATTCTCATTTCTCTATGCTGAAACTCACAGACTTCACTCATGATCTTCTATAAACTTTCTCAAGTTCTACCTACTCTCTTTATCAATTTGATCTATAACCCCTAACTGGATGGTCCTATTCCTCCGTCTTGTCTTTCTGCCTTCATCTTCTCTCATATAAATGACTCATTCTATCTCTGGTGCTTTTCACTGAATATTAAATTTGACGTAATGAATTTTTTATTCTCAGTTTTTTTCTCCTGCATCTCTATCTTTTCATCAAAATCTATGTTAATATCTTGACTCAATTTCCTAACTTCTTTTAGCATTTGATGTTTTCTTGGTATTAATTAGGAAGATACACCTGTGTTATTTGAATTCTTTGAATGTATTTATTATCATTTGGAGTTGTTTCTGTTCCTCATTTTTAGTGTAACTATGAACTTAATAATTATTAACAGAGAATTGATTAACTTGTGCTTTAATGCTAGCCTTTGCTGATCTGTGTTTACATCAGTGGTTACATTTTGTTGTTCATTTAATTCGGGCCATCTCTCTGTCTTCAGTGGGAGTTTTCCAGTGTTAAAGAAAGTCTAGTTTTTAGTATGATTGAGGTGAGTTTTCTTTTCTTAACCTTGTGTTCAGGGCTCCAAGCTCTCAACTCAGTCACCTGCAGTCAGCTGATCAATGTGTTCAACATGAATTACTATCCATTAGTGAAATTGACATGAAAATGTAATAGTGGTTAATTATGAAACTGTCCTTAGAAAATGTTTAATTATCAATTGTTATAGAAAGGAAAGCACACTCAATTCTTTCTCTATTGATGTGTTAGCTATTCAGAATATACATAAGAAAAAAAATGGAAGAAAATAAAAAGTAAACATGGAGAGGCTAGTAATTAATAAAATGTTTCTTGGTAGGAAATAGAGGAGGTCCATGTACACAGAAAGAAAGGGGTAGACATCTTATGGATATCTTGACTTGTTGAGCATCATTGTAGCTCATAGGTATCCTAGTTATATAGGACTACTGATTATGTACTACCCTTGGAAGTTTATGTAGTACTTTGTGGTACTGTGAAAGTTAGAGCTTTACAAGGAAGCTTCCAGTTCAGATCCAGCATGAAACCTCTGAGTCATGTGTCTGAAGTACACAGACAGGCAACCAAGGGAGACAACGATAGCTTATTTATTTGAGAAGGCACTTTTAACTATCCTGACCAACAACTCCAGATGTGATTTCTCACATCTGTCACTGTGGTTTTTGTTAGATAATCTTTGTCTCTTTGTGGGGAGTGTTAGCCCAAAAGGCACAATATGTGTACTATTCATGCATATGTGTGTGTGCCTGTGTATGTGTATCATGAATTTATCTGTTGGTATGTGTATATGCTGTATATAATTTTGGTATACATAAAATAATAAGCATCTTTGAGGCTTTACCAAACATCCTGGTGCAGTTTGTCCACTCTCCCTTACTCCCTGTCCTTCAGGATTGACTTCTCTCCACTCTTATTTATTTCTTCCATTTGACCCAGAGTTGATTTTATTAAAGATTACATTTTTTCTGGTATAATATTCTTTTATCTATTTTCTGGAATATAATCACTGTGGCATCTTTACATTATGGAATTATAACTACTTATAATGACACAAATTTTCTTATGTGTTTGAGTGACTTGATCTTCTATCTTAGTGTGTCTGGAAATTTCTATTGAATTGTAAAAATGCATTTAAAATGTTAACATGAGAATAAGTCATTATTCTGTTCTCTTTCATTTGAATCATTAGTTAAAACTATAAATAGTATGAAGTTTGAAACAGTGTTGTGTTTGTCTTTGAGTCAGGGTTGGGGGTGCCCATGGGAAAGAACCAAGAATGTAGACAGATCCACTCAGTCACATAATGGAGAACTAGAGACTAAGGCTGGTGTGTGAAGTCCTTCTGTATATATGTTGCTTTTATTGTTTAATTAATAAAGCTGTTTCTGCCAGTGGCTTAACAGAACAGAGCAAGGTGGGATTTCTGAGCACATAAAAAAGGAAAGAAGGCAGAGTCAATGAAATGTCATGTAGCCACCTGAGGAGAAAGATCCCACACACATTGATGCGAGTGAACCATGAGCCTCGTGATACAATATAAAATAATAGAGATAGGTTAATCTAAGACATAAGAGTAGTTATAAATATGCTTAAGCTATTGGCCAGACAGTATTTCAATTAAAAAAAAGAAAGGGTGGATACACACACAGAAAAATAACATAACAAAAAAAGTAGACCAAAATTAGAAAGGTGAAGTTGTACACTCATATAAAACAGTCTCATCTCTCAGATAGCTCAGTCACAGAGATGCTGGAAATCAGGACAGTCTATGTTCTAAGAAGGAAGAAAGGTTAGGGAGAAAGGTTTGAAAACAAAGAAATTGAATAACATTTAAAAAGTGAGAAAAACTGGAATCCATATTGGCATTAAACATGGTAAAAAAAAAATAAGGAATAGCTGTAGTGGAGAGTAAGACTGTGGGAGAATTTAGATAAGAAAATAGCCTGGTCAGAATATGAGGTTATCTCACCAAAGGAGGATTCTCTGCATTATTCTCTTCACTAAGTCCTGCTCCAGAATATATTTGATGTTGAGTTTCATCAGCAAGATGTTCCCTGGGTCAGTTAATTACTGTGTTAGGGTCAGGAGGAAAGTATGCAGTGGTGGGGTATTACTATTTAAAGATTTTGTAAATAGTGTTTTCTTGCTAATTTCACATTGGGCTTGTTTTGTTCCATTGAATGTAAGTACAGTTAGGTAAAGGAACAATTTTTTGTGAGTCAACTGTGTTGGTGAATTTTTAGTCTCAGCAGTACTGCTGCAGAAGCAGGAGGATTACAATTCTTGACCTTCCAGGTCTAAGATCAAGATTCTTCTTCAAACATAGGAGTGAGTCAGGGATAAAACTTTGTGGTGTGATGTTTGGATAGCATGTCTAATGCTGCTTATCTCACCACCAACAATGAAATTTTTTGCTTATTTTATTCAGATTCTATTAGTAATCTAGTCTTTTCTCAAACTTGCGATTCTCCCCCTACAGACCTCAGAGTGTTGTAAAACTGAGAGTGCCAGAACTCATGGCTGCAACTTATTTTTGTGTATCCTTGTATATTGGTGCTGAACCCTGATAGACATACAAGTCTGATTTTTTTTGGTTATGGTCAGTGAAGGGTGATAAAGATAAAGAGAACAGTCATCGTTTCTTTTTTTTAATTTAACTGTAAATATTTTGTCCCTAAGTATCTGTATAAACTCTTGGTTTTCATAGACAATTTGCAAGTTGAGAGAATTCTCTCTTATGTCTTATAGTTTACTAAGAACATTAATTAGCAAGAAATGTTGGGTATTGTGTTCTAAATGTTCATATCACTCTGTCTTTGATGTGCTTGTGTGAATCTTGGTTTTATTCTATTAGTGGCAATTTGAATATCATGCTTTGGGATTCATTTCATGTTTTTGCATTGTGTTGGTAAGTATTTTGTTGAAGATTTACTGATGGTACTTATTTTTTTGGT